AGCACTCTGGTTATACTGCATTCAGAGAGGACAGAGCTTGGCAAGATACCAATAAATATGCTTGTCATTTAAACCTTTATCTGATGTTTGTGGAATGTGATTTTATAATTGAAGATGCTTCCTGCACATGCAGCCTCAATATAGATGTTGTTAGTCTGTGAATCTTCCAAATTACTTCGTCTCTTTTTTTCAATTGAAATTAAGATCTTTGCCTTATATCAAAATAATATATTGTCAGTCTTAATGTGCCAATGTCGGGAATCAAACTTGAAAGGCGAACGCTTTAACCACGAGCGTACCCCATCATTCCTTGATACTGTTAAAGAATATACATTGGTACATTTATAATACATTTAAGATTGAACCCAGTTTTGTCACCATATATCCTTCAGTTTTTATGTTAGTGACATGATCTGCACACTGATAATTTAAAAAGAGGAATATAAATAATGATTGTTTGAGATCTTTATCCAATTTAGTTTTCCATTTATCTAGTAATTTTTAGTTTCTATTTCCTAGAAATTCTGTACGAAGGTACTTTTAACAGTTTCACCCAATAACAGTAAAGCATACAGCTAATACGTCTCGGTACTTTGATAGAATAATAAGTACACATTATATTCCATGATATTGAGATACCAAAATGATTAACATAATTAAATAATGTATATGTATACAAATCAGACAGCAAAAAGCAAAAGCAAAAAGGAAAACGCATGAGCAACATAAATGCTGGCAGGTTGAAAGATTTCAATAATTATCGAAACTGCTTAGTTGTGAGCTAATTGCAATCACTACAATTTTCTATAATCTACCAAAGAGATGGAATTTCAAACAAATTCGGTCTATTATGAAAATTATTAGCTAATTGCAATCACTGCAATTTTCTATAGTCTACCCAAGAGATGGAAACGAAATATGTCTACAGTATATTCCGTCGGGTAACTGAAATTTGAGAAAACTTCCGTATGGGATAATACCTGTATTCCGAATCAAAAATGAGGTCATACCAAGTATGTGCAAGTTCACACATTTACAACAGTAATTTACACCGGGAATCATTAATACATTGTAATCATCTTTTATGAAAGTATAGATAATGAAATTTGTTCAGTTATGATCAGTCGGATAACTCATACAAGTGAGCACTTAAATTAGGGACCTACCGGCTCATGTCTGTGTGAACACATGTGTCTGTGTTTTATTGTAATTAGCAGTGTCTCCTTGTATAGCATATATAAGAAGTGTACCAAAGGTCAGTTATATAAACTGTTATGTAATTTCCATTACAAAAAGTATAAACGATGTTACCTACTGGTCAGAAAGACTTATCAGTACCCCAACAACCCACCGCCACCACCTCATCCTAGGCCTACCCCATGCCACACCCTCTCCCACGCACCACACACACATACACTCCCTAACATACATATCGCTCTGGCCCATAGACCCGATATTTGAACCTGTTAAACAGACACCATGTGTATGTCAAGAAAGACACGCACGTTATTAGTTGTGCTCAGTCATGGGTATCACTTCACCATGTGTGTCTAATTATCTCAGTACATTATGGCCTGGTCGGACGCGCTAACGAACCCAATGGGACAGTTACCTTACAGAACCATTGAAATACATGTTAAAGTAGTGCTAATCATGTAACACTATATTTACCCATTTCCAACCATTTACGCATGTACTAAATATATGACAAATCTAACCCTGGTCATACGAGATTTCAAGGGTATTGAAATGCATGTCCTACAATCACAGCATTTACATATGTTACACATGTTAGGAAACACATGAAAACAATGGCCAGATTTACACACCTGTGAAATACATGTAAATGCAGAGTTGAATGTTCGTTTATTTTAACACCCCTTTAAACGTGTGTAAATCTGACGGCCAGATGATACGTAGATTTCAAACGTTGTTCATATGGCCACCGGATGAAACGAGTATTTTCTGACGTTAGTAAATTTGGGTAATACAGTCATTTTGTGGACTTGAGTACACTTGGGGCATAACCAGATGAAGTAGAAGAGTTAATAATCAGCACTAATGTTGGTAAATATCAGTGAAACTATCAATATGAGTAAGAGGCGTGCCATCAAACAGTTTTGAAGGAATATCAGCTTCATCCATAGCCGCAGAAGACGAAGTCTTGTCATGAATGTTCTTGGATCTTTTTGTAGAAATAATCCGAAAATGTTTGTGCTATTACTTCATTGTCATCAGATGTCGGAAGTGTCGATTCAATGTGTTTACTCAAGATACTGAACAAAAGTTTGAACAGCAACTTTGGACTTGACTCGTTGGCTTCAATCTTTGAATTGAGATGTTGATTTGTCTGGTGACCGTTGTTAAGTGATTTTTGGCTGAAATATGCATTTGGAGATGAATCTCCGGGAAAGATTGTTTTCCATCTGCGTTCTGCTTTCCTCTTGTCTTTTTTCGCTTGTCGAACTTCAGGTGTGAAGTCCCAAGCAGATGTTTTAGTGACTGGTATGACTGTCCTTCACTGGTGCATGTTTGTCTATATTGCAGCTCAGATAGAACTCTATTGTATAGCAGAACGAGACTCTCAGCGTCAGATGGTGGCTCAAGTATAAGGTCTGAGTTTAGCAAATTGTCTTTAAAAGTATCCATATCCAGCGAGCGCATGTTCCTACAGCGAGTAATCTTCACATTTGGACTGGGTATTGAGAGGTCCAAGCTCACAAATATATGGAAATGGTCAGAGAGCTGTAGATCCTATACAGGTACACAACTGACACACGCGTCCGAGGCACCGTTAACTATCCAGTCCAGAGTGTGTCCACCTCTGTGGCTTGCCTCTGACATGAGTTGTACACAGTTGTGGACTTCAAGAAGATTAATTATTCGTTTAGTGTCAAGGTTTTCCTTGCTGTCAAAATGGAAATTGAAGTCGCTTACAATGATAATAGCTACTTCGTCAACTTATCCAGTCTGTGTCGAGACGGTGCCGAGCAGTAATTGCTGCCAATGGTGGCCATACAAAGAATTGACTTTGACGCCATCTTGTGGACTCAAGAGAACAGAAACACAACAGTAAAGGCTTTGTCTAATGACGTTTGAATTTTCACCTTTTTACCATTGGGATTACATGAAATAATAGCTCTTAAACTAATGCAAGAAATTCTTCTAAAAAATGGCTTGTGCGTTTCTGTTTTTTTGAAGAGTATATTTCTGGGTCGCAGTTTCATGTAAAGACCTCTTCTATAGTTGATTAACAGTGTAAAAAGTATATTCCTTTTTCATATTGTACTAGTTCTATACAAAATATATGCCTTGTGAAGAAATGGGTTTTTTATTCATCATTAAAACTTTTAGAGCTAAAAATGACTCTTTGATGAAAATTTAAGACAAAATCAAACTAAAAAGATCTGGTGACTTACAGCATATGAGAAATATATTCCGTAACCAAACATGCATGGTATTTGATATTAAAACCATTGTTTTGTTCCGAGTTTTCGCAACTTTTTCAGTTCCCGGTTAAATTTTGGCAGCCATCTTGGATTTTGAGCTAAAAATAGCTTTCACATTACTATTCAGATTGGAACCAAACATTTTTTTAAACTTCTTTAACATATAAACACAAAAGAATATATGATTTGCTTTCATCAAAAAACTTTCACGGAATCGCATAAGCCTGAATATTTCGGATCCGGATTATGAGTTTGTGCAAGAGCTTTGGCATACGTTTGACATGAAATCGATCAATGAAGTGTCGGTGGACACTTTGCTGTTATGCGACGTCATGCAAATGTTTCGATCTATGTGTATGACAGACTATGGCATCGAACCGTTTCATTTTGTGAGTCTACCAGGTTTCTCGAACATGTGTTGCCTTAAGCTCACCGGTGTACAGTTACGATTCTTAACACACCCCGATTTATACGGGTATTTTGAGAAGGGCATCAGAGGTGGATGTAGTTTCATCTCCCATCGTTATTTCAAAATTAACAACGTGCACATGGGGGATGAGTACGACCCTGCGAAAGAGACGGGTTATTTGTTGTACTATGACGTGAACAGCCTGAACGCTACTTGTATGACAGAGCCATTGGCCGTGGGGAAGTTTGAGTTCTTAGAGCGTGACGAGTTCGACAGTATTGACTGGATTGCTGTCCCTTATGACGGGGACTATGGCTATACGATAGAATGTGATCTGACAATCCCTCCGCATTTACACGATTACTTCTCTTCATTCCCTCCCTCACCGATGCATAGGGACATACCGTCGAGCGAATTTTCACCATACTGTGAAGATATTTTGCACGAGTTAAGTCTATCTAAAATCAAATCGAGTGGGAAAAAATTATTTTGCACACTTTATGACAAAAAACAACTATTTCGTTCATTCCGAAACGTTGAAGTGTTATTTGAGACTAGGTATGCAGGTGAAGTATATCCACGCCGTAGTCAGATTCGCTCAGGATGCGTGGATGAAACCTTATATCGATGTCAACACTCACAAACGTAAAATGGCAACTGACAGCGCGTCCGAAGAGTTTTACAAACTTTTGAGCAATGCGTGTTATGGAAAACAGATTGAAAACTGTAGAAAGTTCAAGGACATTCGTTTGGTGGCCGATGCTAACATACTGACGAAATGTTCAGCCAAGTGCAATTTCAAACGTCCCAATATTTTCTCCGAACAGTACTTCGGTCGCGTTAAACAAACCCATTGCTGTGGGATTCTGTATACTGGAACATGCCAAGAGAAGAATCTATTCTTTCTGGTATGATGTTTTGGTCAGACAGTACGGTAGTCGGGTGAAACTGTGTATGTCTGATACGGATTCGTTCTTATTGGCCGTGAGCGCCCCACCGTAAAAACCCCTCCTGGACCCTTATCTGTTTATGAGCTATCATATGGAATTGTTTGACACGTCCAATTTTCCAAAGTCTCACCCATTGTACACCACAGAAAGACATAAACAGCCGGGTCTCATGAAATCAGAAACTGCACATCATATTATTACTGAATTTGTTGGATTGAAAAGTAAATATTACAGTTTTGTAGTAAAGCAGGAAGTAGAGAGCGAGGAAGGAGAAAAGAGTGCTGTACTGATAGAGGAGAAACGTGCTAAGGGTATACAGCGTACCTGGGTAAAAAAACACCTCAGACACGAGGCTACGTTTCACCAAATCAGGTCTTTTCGCAATACATTGTACACAGTGAAGGTAAGGAAAGTCGCGTTGTCTCCTTTTGACAATAAAAGGTACATACGCGATGATGGGATATCATCCTTACCCTATGGTTATATTGCTTCCGAGTAAGACTAACCAAATCTCTCCTTGTCATTATAGTTTATCGTGTTTGAAGCACGCGCATTATGACGAATCAAGAATCACAGACAGGTGGGTGAAGACTTGTCAAGCCGGATAACTGAAAGAAGCAGACTGGTCGGCTCGGAGTCAGTATAATGTGTCTGAGTGGGGTATTCATGCTTCACTGCAGCATGGTATCTCAGTGGGCTAGCACTATAAAACCAGCTTGTCTGGGCTTGCAGCCACACATGCACATGCTTGCACGTCGTCATATGAGCGAAATATTGTCAAGTATGACGTTAAACCCCATTTCACCTCAGCTCACCGTATCATGTGAAATAGTGAAAGAATGTGGCAAAGATTATATACACATTATTCGGTGAAGTGACTCTCCTTCTTTAACTGATTGATGACATTATTGATTTCGTTTCAGAGAATCGCACATGTTGTATCCTTGTCACGGGTTAATCTTTCCTGGCGTTTTTCTTGTTTGGGAACACGCTTGCCTCTCTGCATGTTGAACTCCGGCCAGTGACCTTGCAACTTAGCAATGTATTTTAAATAACAGTTCTCACTACAGCTGTGGTCGGTGTCAGGCACATAGTTGTAGCTGAGCCTCCAGGCAGGGGTAACACCAATATGTCTGTCGATGGCTTGCTTGTCTCCGGAGCAGTGTGACCTCAGACGGTGGATAATATCTTTGGACCTCCCCACATAGATGATCAGTCTATCCTGTTTGATAACGTAGATTCCTCTTATTTTCGTCTCTTGTCGAGGCCATTGTTTCCATGGTTTGCCTTGGCTGTCGATCAGGGCTTGGCTGTTTTGCTCAGTTTCACATGTAACTTGGAAGTGCTGCAATATATGGAAGTGAATCATGACTGACACACTGTTAATAAACAGACACAACATGTATCAGACCTAACACCCCATTCTGACTTGACAGGATCCCCTGGTCATGGGTTTGAATCCTTGATTGTTCCTGTTTCTGCCAGCAACATACGACTGGACTTCACCCTACTGCTCCAACAGTCTAACTTTTGACCTCCCTCACACATTATCTGCTACGCCCTGAAATGACTGGGGTACTGCTCAAAACAGAGATGACCTTACAAGCTCAATCAGACCTGATTCTAAGAAACTTTCACATGGGTTACTGATCATTTTAAGAAATGTTTGACGTTCTGAAACTATCGGTATGGGGCAGGTAATGTTACAGACGATATGTGTTTAGCAAACTGGCCCAGAGGTGTTCCTTACCAAAAAAAATCAAAAGCTCATTTGAATATGTCCACATAAAGGACAAACATTCATAAGAAATCGATTCACACACCCAGTTTCTGAGAACCAAGGCAGTTTGGGGTCCTACCAAGTATTGCCAGTTTGAATGTAAGGTTTATATAATGCTGACGAGTCTCTTAATTTACAGTGAGTTTAGTTTTATGCCTCTTTTAACAATATCCAAGCAACATCACGGCTGGGAACACCAGAAATGGGCTTCACACGTTGTACCCATGTGAGGAATCGAACCCCGGCATGACGGGCGAACGCTTTACCACAAGACCTTGTAAAAACGCCCATATCTGTTGTTATATCGTGGACGAATACAGAGAAGATATTTGGTTTGTCTTGTCTCGGGCTAATTCTAAGACAAATGTCATATTAGCTAGTGAATACTTACAGAACACTTCGCCATTCCCGAAACGTTAGTGTAAGGCAGGTATCTGTGAACGGAGCTCGTAGGTCGGAGCTCGGAGTTACCTTCCTAGAAGTAATACACGACTTACACGATGACACCAATATAACGCGGACGTGTCTCTTAATTTAGCCACGCAATGGACGTTGCATAATATCATCATATAGTCCGATAATTGCTAACAAATTTAAAAAGAGCTGCTGTATATACCTACAGAATTGTTACGAGTGTTAAAAACATCAATTCGAGGCAAATAATTAGGCACGGACCTTGTACAGTGCAATCGCGCACTTAAGGTTTCTCAGAAAAGATTAGAGTGTTATCAGTTGACATTAAACATTGACACCATAAATGAATATAACTATGACGTGTCTCCTAAGTTAGAATCCAGAGCTACAGATAAGTTCCTTGGTCACTGAGTTATGTAGTCGCTTGCGTTCATGTTGGGTATCCTAATTTTCCTTTGAGCAACCAAATAAATTGTACTCACCTCACTCAAACTCAATTGGGTATTTTGCCGTTTTCCATTAATTTAAAAAACATAAAAAGTTTTAAATGTTAGTGTTTGTTATTTATAATTGATCTGTAATATGATAAACGATAAAAAAGACTGCAAGTTGTCAAGTTCATGTCGCATCTCATTGGTCAGAATTCGAACGAGTTGAACCGTTGAGCTCGATCAAAGACCAGTTCCTATCACAAATTATAGTTAAATCAGCTATAGAATGTTTATTGAACACTTGGACATTCTTGGAACATCAGTGCCAAGTTCATTCGTCATCACTCGCCCCTTTACGTAACCTCCAAGAAGATCGTTATTCGGCTTGTCCCGAAATAACACGAGTTGGTCAAGATTATGCAAAGTCTTTATATCTGGTTTCCTAGAACCCATGATATTTCCTGGTATTAACAGATAAATACTTATCTAAATCAAACAATGACACCCAGATAATATGCATGTTATCAGAATTATCTTTGCATGGACATCTCAAAGTTGATCTTTCATTTACAGGTTATTTGCAACTGTACGAAGTACAGATTAACGGAAGAGGTGTTTCGGCACGATGTGGACAGTCGTTGTTAGCGTCCAATGGTAGATGTTGTGTAATCAATGTTTTTCGCTAAATTCCACAATATAGATATCGCTTGATCTCACACAAGCGATATTTACTCTGGGAGCCAGTTTTGGATATAGAGAATACTACACGAGGTCTCATTACATACGAAATATACGAAACGAGTGTCCTTCCTATGGTACCTTACCGAGCGAAAGCGAGGTCAGAAACCATAGGAAGGTCACGAGTTTCGTATAATTCGCATGTAATGAGACCGAGTGTGGTATTTTATTTATTACCCACGTCTTACATGCATTAAATTGACAAAATAGCGTATTTTTGTTATTGTTATGGTTATGGAAAATGAATTTCACTTTTAAATTTTAATAACATCGTATTGTTATATTTTATGGCGAGGTGAAGGCAGCATGACCTTTACTAAGACGTCACAGACTGCCCCAGTTCGATGAGGTCGTAAAATTATTCACAATGCATCTGGCGCAGTGGTTACACCTGTTATGTATTTTTTACGCTTATACAGTGTAGTTCTGTAACGCACAATGCGATTGATATAATATCAAGTCCGTACCAGACTTTTCTAGCGGCAGAGCCTCGTTTTGAGATTCCACGATTTCCAGGTTTCCGTTTGTCAGAGCACGTTGTACGACAGAGCACGCTGCACGACGTGTTTGCAAGGATTAGAAGGAGCGTAGTGTTGCAATACACAAGTGTTATATGTATCAAATAATACTGATTAATATTTATGTATCCAGTTAAATGAATTGGTCTAAAAATTCCGGACTGGTTATTGTACTAAGTTGCGCAATAGGACGGAATCCAGTCAACAGGAAACGAGGCTGTTGTGTAATCAATGTTTTGACTTGTTCCGTCACAACGTGACCTAATTGAGAGGTCATCGGTTATCAAATCAAATCGCTAGTATCTCAGGTCAAGTCATTACGACACAGGTCAACGCGATACGACACTCGTGTGACGTACGAGATAAGTATGCAACTACCCATACGTCGACCACATGGGTAATAAGATATAGTACGCACACGCAGACATAAATTGTTATTAAATAACATATATCGTTATTCGGTTTGTCGGTAAGTTAGTCACGAATATGCAAAGTCCTTACTTTCCCTTTTAGTGTCCTAGAACTCATGATATTTCCTGGTATTAACAGATAATTACTTATCTAAATCACTATTCTTATCACAATGACACCTTGATATATATATAACTCCGAAGTGTGTCTGTGGACACGTGTGGCTATATTTACGCCTTAATATATTTAGATCCAAGTCAGAGTTATCTTTGCATGGATATCTTCATGCTGACCTTTCATATGCAGGTTGCATGCAAGTGAGCGAAGTACAGATATAACAGAAGAGGTGTTTCGGCAGGATGTGGACAGTCGTTGTTGGCGTCCACGTTTGTACACATGCTCTATGAACATTAACGGTCATTCTGTTAAGCCTGAAAAAAAACGATGGGAGAAAAATTTCTCCCGGGGTTTTGGCACGTGCACCACGTGCATTATTACCAATCAAAGTCACGGGCTCTGCCTGCTTTAGTGACAATGGTAGACGCGAATTCTCATGCCGAGTGAGTGAGTGAGTTTAGTTTACGCTGTTTTATCAATATCACGGCGGGGAACACCAGAATTGGGCTTCACACATAGTACCCATGTGGGGAATCGAACCCGGGTCTTCGGCGTGACAAGCGAACGCTTTAAGCAGTAGGCAACCACACCGCCCCAGTTAAGCCAAGAGTAACAGAGGCGCAACAGAATAACGCAACAGAATAACGCAATATGTTATTTTGAGGCGGACGAGTAGCTACTGGCAGTTGCTCGGTGTTTGAATGTTTATGAGCACATGAAGGCATGACACGGATTTCAGCAACATAGAATTAGTCGTAATTGCCCTCAAAGTGGAACAACACGTGCTCTCTGGCGCAGAGCAACATCCATGCCTATCCACATCCATATCCAGTCATGTCCAGCCATGACCATCAAAATCACCAGATAGCAACCCTATTGGACATTTGTGGGACAATCTAGATCGACGACATCCCCTGCCGCTGACCTCACCAGCTTTGTTTTGGGGTTAGTTGGGTGAGCATATTTTGTCACGCATCACTTAAGATCCGGGTTAAAATCGGTCTTCAGCAACCCTTGCTTGATCTCAACACAATTGCTGGACTTCCGGTAACTTAAGGTGCAATGTGAGATGAGAGGTAAGAGTAAGTGAGTATGTTTTACGCCGCTTTTAGCAATATTCCAGCAATATATTTCGGACGGGGTACATCAGAAATGAGCTTCACACATTGTATCCAAGAGGCAAGAGATAGCAAACCTTAGATACCTAGACAAAGCTATCAGATCCCTGTTCTCTGCATCGGAGGAGGGCTGAAGTACCATGTTGTATCGTCCAGAACTGTTCAACACAATAATGGACTTGGTGATTTATGTGTACGAATCCCCACATGGGTACAATGTGTGAAGCTCATTTCTGGTGTCCCCCACCGTGATCGTGCTGTAATATTGCTAAAAACGGCGTAAAACCAAACTCAGTCAGTCCTAATAAAAGTATATCTACTAACTATCATATAAATAAGTATTATATTGTATAGCATGTAGGTGTACTATTTGCAATCATGTTAGTTTTCCAATCCTAAACTACAAACATAAATAAGCATCTCTAATATATTCTTATCTTTACTATCCTTTCAATGAATGTGTGAGATGAGAGAATGTGTTTTGATATAAGTTGTTTTAACTATGATAAGTGCAATTATCAATGTTTGGAGGTAATTCTGTGGTTATGAATGAGGGGCGGTGGGGTAGCCTAGTGGTTAAAGCGTTGGCTCGCCACGCCGAAGACCCGGGTTCGAATCCCCACTTGGGTACGTTGTGTGAAGCCCATTTCGGGTGTCCCCCGCAGTGTTGTTGCTGGATTATTGCTAAAAGCGGCGTAAAACCAAACTCAGTCAGTCAGTTTATGAATGTAGCCCTGAAGCTACTCCACATAACCTTGCATATTATATTTATAATCTAATATTATAACAGATAAGTCCCCGTCTATATGATTGGTGCTGTTCCCTGTACCACCCACAGGGTATGTGTATATGTACGTTTTATATCCATGTATTGTACATAGTACCATCAAGTAATGCGTGGTGATGAATCATGTGTATATTACAATTACGAATAATGCGTAATGGTGTATTATTGCCTATCTTGTGTGTATTGCATTGTATGTATGTATGTATTAGCATTACGTTACGCGTAATGATGTAATATCATAATTCGTGTTCCATATGTGTAATAAGTAATGGGAAAGATTTCCGTGTTAACCCTAAACCCCTAAACCTAACCCTAAAACCTCGAAATAATCCTATTAATAGAATACATTTCCAGCGGGGGTTACGGGCGGAACTCTTACCGTCACATGAAATCGACAGACCAACTCTTATGACTTGTCTCATAATTTTGGACACCCGAATCAAAAAGTTGCTTAACAAACGATTATTATTTTGTGGTCATTTTTCGCTATTTTTTACGAGGGGGGACCACTTGCTGAAATAAACGACCTCACACCCCAGCGTTGGTTATCTATGCCTCACCTTGACCCTGCTATAGTGACATCTTTGAACTTGACCTTTCTTCATGTGCCATTTGTTGCCCATCAACACTTCCATTGTGATCTCAACACCTGTAACAGTTTTTGTTTTTAAATGTCATTTGACTCCTATGTGTTGGAAATGATATTCAAATTGAATTTTGCCAGAATACTTATCCGGGGTTTACTTGTGTCCCTGTCGGTAAAGTGATCCGGGTTTGTTTTGGTCCCTGTCGCTAAACTGATCCGGGCGACTCAAGTCGACGAGAGCACATGGCCCATGTTCACAACGCTGATGAAAACTTTTGGGTCGCAAAGGGCCAAGATTGTGTGTGAGTAGTGTTATGATTAATATTTTCATTGACGATGACTTCTTTATCTGGATATTATCCGCATTAACTTTGGTAAATATGTGTTTGAAACAAATATTAGTTTGCCATGTCAGCCATGAGGGTTCGTGTATCATGTTTTCGT